TCAAACCCTAAACCCTAAACCCTATTCTACTCATTGGTCCTATGTTTTTTGCACAGGCTTGCGTGAATCTCGCCTGGACGTGTCGCACCCGTTCTCTGAACAAGGCCCAACACAGAACGAAATCACTAACTTAGAAATGAGCCTTTCAGAGAAGCTTCAAAATGCAAATCAACGCACCTGGGGCTCTGGCGGTCGCCAACCGGGCCCTTAGCCGCTTGTCGACACTGTCGAGCTTCTCGCGGGACTGGCGGCGACTCTTATGTTCTAGGGTCTAGATGCTCTTTGTCCTGATCCCCTTTGCACTGCCGTTGAAGCAGCGCAGCTTACCTACCCGGGCTTGAAGCTTTTGCTGCCGGTCCAATCTCTGCAACTGGCACGGGGCTGCTCATGAAACCGGTAAGAGCGTGTGCATGGTGTGTGTGTGTGTGCACGAGTGTGTTGCTTTCAGGTTTGCTTCTGGTGCAGGTAAGCCTTGTGATTAAAGCAAACGCCTGAAACTCGAGGGCCGAAGCTTCTGCCCTTGGCCCCTCACCCTCTGATCGGATGCCGACGGGATCAACTTCTATAGCCTATGAGTCTATGATCATCTTCGCTTATCTCTAAGTGCAGATACGCTTAACTCTGCTCTCATCAACTCGTATTGTGGTCTCTTGACCTGAAGACTTCCCTAAACCCTGAACCCTTTTTGACCACCTAAACCGCAGCTGATGGAGGGGCCTCCGTCTGACTGAACCTCGCCGGCTGGGGTTTATAGGGCCTACGATTTAGGATTTAGGGTGTAGTCTAAAGTTCAGGAGCTACGGCTACGGGAGAGCTTTGGGATGTTCAGCCCAGAGAGCCCAATACTCCTTAAATGAGGACTATACCTTAAATTATAGGGGCCGTAATATTATGTCTTAAGGTCTATTCCTTAATTAAGGGGTATTGGGCTCTCTGGGAAGATTTAGGGGCTGAGTCTGGAGTCATGGAGTTTTTGTTTCTCGGGCTCGAGGCTAGGCTCCCATTGCTCAGCTCGATTTCTGGAGCAGGTTGTTGCAGTTGTTGTTCATGCCGAGACACTCACCGTAACTATATCTGAATGATACGGCGATGAAACTGGCACGGCAGCTAGCTACACTGTGCGTAATTAACCGGGTCCTTCATGGCTGTGCTAGCGCCTCTGGGGTCCTGGCGCTTCCATGCTGTGCAGGAGCAGTGCCTCGAGCCCGGGCAGTTGGAGAAGTCTGTTGTCGCGGTTGTGATTGTGGTGCTGCTCTCTGTTACAGCTGACACATTGCGAACTTTTGAGCGGCATGAATGCTGCTTCCTTGGCACGTCGAGCGGGGCTGTGAGTCTGAATGATGCGGGCTTCGATTCTCAGCGGATATCACTTTCTCGCATACGAGGGCTGTTCTTGCCATCAACGCAACTGTGTCCGACCCGCGCTGTGCACTCATCCATCTGACCGTAAACTACTCGACAGCCGTACCGCTGCATGCAAAGGGAAAGGTGGCTCAGACTAGAATTGCTGCTGCTGCTGGTGCTGCTGCTGCTGCTGCTACCACTATCACTGCCACCGCTAGAACCACCACCACCACCACCACCACCACCACCACCACCACCACACTACTCCTTCTCCAGCTGCTGCGGCTACGACTGCGACTACCACCACCACCACTTCTGCTTCCCCCTGTTCCTGAACCTGCTGCTGCAGCTGCTGTTACAGCTACTGTTGCAGCTACTGCCACTCTTGTGGTTGTTGCTTCTGCTTCTGAGCGTCTTCGCGTTCTGCTAGTGCCGCACTGGGTGACAACTTCGACCTCTAGACTACAGCAACTGCCAGACCGAAAACAAGCATACCACGGCACCCCACGATCGCTTGGAGCTAGTGCCCATCGAATGCCATTCTGTGGTTGCCGGCGGGCCTTCTCCTCCTCTGTCGGAGCCTCTACGTCGCTGCAGGCCCGAGGGGTTGCGTTTAGGGTTCGATATCAGTGTCGGGGCTTATCTAAACTTCTCAGGATGCCAGCTGAACCTATGCTCTGCCCTCAACCTGGCGCGATCGATCCCTTGAGCCTTTTAAAATCGTGACATCCTGTGGCAAAAGGAGAAGGATGAACAGCCAAGCCCTACAGTGTCAGCTGCACATCCTGTCAAAGACCAAGATCTTGCAGGGAACCTTTCAAACATCACTATTGCATTACCCGCATCTGTCCTCTATTCCTGCTAGTATACCACGATTTCGGGACTTCCTGGGTTGTGGCGATGGGGGTTGCTGTGGCGCTGCATGGCCGCACACGTTCGTCTTCCGCGTGAAGGTTGCCACTGCTATCGTTCGTCTTTCGGGCTGTTCTGCTGAGGAATATTCTATGATTACAACTGCTTCTGTCTGGTGCGTTCAATGACACAAGGGCCAATGGAACCAGCCAGAAGGACACCAGAATGGAAAGTCGACAACGAAACGCCAAAAGCTACAATAAGCCTGAGGAATCAAGGATCAGAGTTGAGGTTTCGTGGCTTGCGGATTATGCGGGCCAGATCTCCAGCTGAGACGTAAGGGCGACTAGCCATGGGCCATATGGGGAAGTACGGTCTGCTTGAAACTTGGCTTTATCAATTCCAGAGACTCTCAAAAGAGCCGCCTTGCCATGTAACCGGATCGCTACACGAGGGGGGGGGAGACCCAGCCCTCCGGCTCCGCCTCGCTCTTCTCCGACTGCACGGCGAGGCCTGCCAAACGCATCACACCCGACCGGCGCGAAGATGACGACGACGATGACGGTGATGACGATGGAGGTGGGAGAAGATGAAGAATGAAGATTATCAAAGAAGTGAGTGATGATCGGGAGGGGTGGTGATGGCAGCCGCGGAAATGAGGGTTGGCATGGAAGGTCAGGATCCTGGCAACGGAGACCCTGGTGAGGCTGGCGACGACAACAACCATGATCACGAAGATAAATGCCACGATGATTAATTATGACGCTGCAGGCGGCAGTGGAGATGTGAATGACGATGACGATGGTGATGACGATGCTGATGTTGATGTTGATGGCCGCTCCGATATGACCACCACTATCACCACCGCCACCATAGCGTCAAATCATTGCCATCATCATGGCTTGGCAAAGCCCAAAACCCCCAGGCGGTGCCCCAGGCCCCTTACTGCTCGGTGTAGGTGTGAGTTGCATTCAACGAGGTCCGTGATGTTGAACCCCTACATCCCGCGCATTAGCACCCTCAAACCTTCGAAAAGCCTCGAAGCAGTTCAGACTCAAAAAACACCAAAGCCACGAAGCCAAAGCCACGAAGCCCTCGCCTGCTTCTGCTGCCTCGATGGGGAAGCTGCCTTCCCAGGGCACAGGCTACAGGGCCCAGGCTATTCAGCCGGCAGCTTCAACCCGAAACTGCGACTTACGGTACAAGAAGTAGAGCTGCACTTCAAACTCCTAGAGCCTCCCCAAGCCCCTCCCTCAAAAGACCCAAGCAGCAACATAGAGGGCACAGGGTGCCGAACAGCCAGGACCGCACGCTCTCAGGCTGCACTCGTCGAGTTCATGATCCCAACCATTGCCCAAAAACGAGGACAGACACCGACACCAACAGCGGTTTAGGGCTTTTTCCAGCTGAGAAACTATGCTCACGGCGAGGTCTTAGGGTTTAGGGTTTAGGGTTTAGCAATCTTAACAAGTGCCACCAGGAAGAAGTTCTCACCCACAGTCGCTTCCATATATGCTCAGTACAACTCCGTGCCTGTTGCACCCCTTCATCTGGCTCAATTCAGAACACATCGGCCCTCCACCGTATTGCATCCATGAACTTGCCCCTACACAGGAAAGCTGACGATCTCAGAATGGCAAAGTTAAGCACTCAAAGCAGGGCCTCGTCCATGACAACCCTGACAAGTCCCCAACTCACATGCCCAATACCTCTCGCTGAGTCCTATAGCGTAGGGGTCGGAATCATTAGAAATACAAATTAATAAAGATAATAATACTAATAAGGATAACAGTATTAATAATGATAATTAATGTCCCCTTATCGTTTCATCTGAAAAAATGCTCCCTAAAGTCCTGGTCTGAACGTATCAACGAGTTCAGGCCCCATAAAGGGCGAGCCTTCCCGCAGGAGCTTGGCCCTGCATTGCAGGGGTTTTATTTTTGGCTTTGTGGGATGTGTGGGGTACGGAGCGCAGGGATTCAGTCACGGTTCGGGGGCTTTGAGGCTTTCTTCACTCTCGCAACTCGCTAACTCGCAGGCAAGGAGTCACGATAATTGGGAAAGGGATTCCGGGCGAAGAGACCTAGACCTGACATGAAGAAGGAAAGACGGTCTTACCTTCTGAAGGACACTTACGTCCCAGTGTAAATTTCGATGCCACGAATGGTGGTGATGCCGCAGCCTCGCCGGCATGCCCTTGGCCCAAGCGCCTCAAACCCCCGTGAGTGGGCCCTGGCATCCGAAATCCGCTGTTTCGGTTTGGCTTTAGGAGATTTTCTGTCCAATCGTTACTCTGAGCACGACAACTGGCTTGCCTCACTCCTTGGCCCGGCGATGCCATGTCGCGTGCCTCCTTGCCCAAGTCGAAACCGTTAAGATTTAGGGTAGAGGATGGAAAACCTAAACTTCCGGCGACCGTCATGCAAAGCAGGCTTTAAAGATGCTAACATGTTACTGGTGTTGATTTTGTTCGTGGCATATCGCTTCTTCTTCTTCTTCTTCTTCTTCTTGTTGCTGGTGGTGGGTGGGGGCCGCGGTCGGGGGGTGGGAAGCGAGGGCGCTGGCGGTGGCACTGGCGGTTTCGGTGCTGGTTCTGGGTTGTCCCGGAGGTCGTGGTCGTGGTGTCGTTGTCGTTGATGCCGTCGTGGTTGTCGTTCTCGCTCGTTGTTGTGATGCTTGTGGTTGCGGTTGTGATTGCGATTGCGAGTGTCGTTTTCGTCGTGGTTCTTGTTGTCACTGTTACTGTAGCAGCCGCTGCTGCTGCTGCTGTTGCAGCTGTTCGCGAGTACTTGACTAGGTCTCGATGATAAAGCAAAGACTTCTGTGTGACTGACAATGTACTCCTTGTACACATGACTACCAACTATGTGGCAGCACACCATGACCAAACCCCACTGGGGCTTACCGTGCGTTACAAGTTTGATAGCGCTTGTGTGCGCACCACGCCTGCCGATATCGCGTGAGCATCGCACCGAGCTGTTACGACATCACGAAACTGGCTCTGTCGTTGCAAACGCATGGTTTCAGCACTTCCAGTCGCGTGACCGTCTCACGGGTCTGTAATTGCAGGGCTTTTAGCTTTGAAGTGCTTGGATGCAAGTTCGTGCTTGGGATGTTGCGTTGATTCCTTACGGCTTGTTGCACAAAGAGGCTCACAGAGGCAAAAAACCCTCCGGGTCTTGCAGTTGTTTGCTCCTTGTTCCCGAACTGAGTGTGTTTGGTTCAGTTTATGTCGGTCTGCTTGTCGTTGTTAGGTAATTTAACTCGTTCTTCTTTCCTCCTTTATGTACAGTCTTCGTTTCTTTGTGTCTGTCCTTCTTTCTTTGTCTGGACGTAGCAAAGCCCATTCAGATGGCGACCATACCCAGAGTACTAGTATTTACAGCATTTTGGCCTCTTTGTACAACATACTGTGACATACTAAAGGTTCTTGGTTTCAGATTACCATAAAAAGAATGTGCACGGAAACCACCACCCCCCCCTCCCCGGCGTGCACAAACCCAGGCATGCACCACCTGGAGACACATCACCAGGCCCTACTACCCGTCCGCAGCCCTGGAAAGACAAATACCGATTTCCTCCTCTTCGGTGAGCCCATGCGTGATCAGCTCCACGACGCTACCTGGCTGGCAGTTTCGACAAGCTCAAGCATTCTCAGCGGCGACTCAGTAAAGCGGTAATACCATACAAGCATACCACGCAAAACATCAGGCCGAAACCCTGAAGCAAGCCCGCACGCTTGAAAACAAAGCCATCGTCACAGACCCCCCCTCCCCCATTACCAAGAAAATCCTAAAACCTTCAAACCATCAGCTCCAATGCAAGAAGAACTTGCAATGCCAAGTTTGGTTGAGCCCCAAAAGGCCCCTCTGCTAAGGCCCTGCTCTGATGAGAACCCTTACCTCGCCGCCACGGCCCTAAAGCCTCCGAAGTCAGCCTCCGAAGTCAGCCTTTCTTGGGTTTAGGGTTTAGGGTTTAGGGTTTAGGGTAGGGTTTAGGGTTTAGGGTTTAGGGTTTAGGTTAGAGTTTAGGGTTTAGGGTTTAGGGTTTCAGCCTTTCTTGGCGCCCGGGCCATCCGTGCAGGCGACGTCCAAGGTGGCCCCCGAGGAGTCCAAGGACATGGCCATCTCGTAGAGGCCTTTTTGGGGTCTAAGGGTTTAGGGCTTAAGGGTTTAGGGTTTAGGGGTTTAGGGTTTAGGGAGTCCTTTGCTGAAAGGGAGGAGGAGGAGGAAGGTGTTTGGGTTTGGGACAGGGGTAAAGGGTTTAGGGCTTAAGGCCTTGAAAGGGAGGAAGAGGAGGATTTTTGGGTTTGGGAAAGGGGTTTTTTGCGGGCTTTGGGCTTAGATTCCAAGGTTCAGCAAGGCTGAGGGTTGGGGAGGTGGGAAAAGGATGGAAAAAGGGAAAGAAAAGTGTTCCTTTGGAGGGTTCGTTGCTGGATGCCTTCCAGGGCTCCTTCGAGCGATCTTTCGGAGCGTGGTTGCCGGACCCCTGAAAGTTCGCCGCCCGCTTCTCTAAGCACAAGCGTGGCCGTCTGTATCCAAAAGCCCGCCGATGGTGCCATAAGAGATGAAGCGATATCTAAGATGTTTTCTGACGCCCTGCCCTTCGGCAGTCGGCCTTGCGGGCTTGAGGTGCGAAACACAAGCGCAGGCTTTGTGAGGGTTTTGAGTGAGCCTGGACCCCGGATTTCGCGGCTCGCCTCAACCCAGAATTTGCTGCGACTTTAGATTGACTGTCCCCCGACGGTGATGCAGTCTTCGAGCGAAGGCTCGCTGAGCTTCTGGCACCAAGTTCGCTTGAAGTAAACCGCCTGCTTCGGGCTGCATGGGATCTCCCCCCTAGGACTTGTGCAGCAGAACCCCCAGCAGTCGACCAAGAGCGGCAGTTGTAGCGACTGCCCCCTTATTCAGACGACGGATGGGGGATTGCCCCACACCTCTTGTTCTTCACACTCTTCCCCCCAAAAAATTAGACAAAGCAGCTCATCCCTCTTCCTCCACCAACAATACATCGCGAGTGCTTAAGCTTCGGGTGCTCAGAGCCTCGGGATCGAGGACGACCAGCAGCTTGAACTTGCAAACCTCCATAGGCTTGTTGAAGGGCGCCTGAGGGTCAGACAAGGGTCGAAAAGTGGATTTCGCTGACACCCGCCCTGAGGCACCTCAACCTTGGACCAACCCGCATGAAACTTCTGTACATTTGGCAATTGCATCCTTCTGGATTTGGGCTGCAGGGCTAGCGCTCAGTACCTGTCACATACAGTCATTTCTGGGTGTTCAGGGGCTTCTCACTTCGGGTAACTCATGCAACAGCAGCGAGGGCAAACCCAATCAGAAGGTGGCAAAAAGCTCTGCTGGCTTCTGTGCTTCGGCTTGCTCTCAATCAAGGCATGGCATTTCGAAGACTAGAGCTTCCGGCTGGCGAAAGTGTCCCAGGGTTTCCGAATGCGAACCCGAGAAACGCCACATCGGCCTCCGTCGGATTCTCGGTGATCTCGCCTAGGCTTTGGAGCTCAGGGCCTTGAGGGCCTTCCAAAGGCCTGGCTGGGAAAGCTTCGGCCCCCGAAAAGCCGAGGGCTCCGAAAATCCTCCTCCCAACGTCTATTGCTTCGGGCTTAGGAGGGTTTAGGAGGGTTTAGGACGGGTTTAGGACGGGTTTAGGAGGGTTTAGGAGGGTTTAGGGTTTAGACTTAGAGTTTTTGAAGGAGGCCTAAGCCCCAACGAGTCTAGGGGAGTGGGCCTTGAAGGAGAGCAGAGGCGTCTTCTCATGGCTCGGGGCTCTTCGTTGCCGAGACATCGGAAGATCATGATGTTTTGGCACTCGCACTCGGCAAAGCAGTAGAAGCCCAAAAGTTGGAAACATAATAGCCTCGATCTTTAAGAATAACGTATAAGCAATCCCAGCACTAATTGCCCTTAACCCAGATTCCAACTTTTTGAATTTTGCGGCTTACCAAAGGCCTCATAACTCATAGACCCCATTAGATTCACAGATTCACAGAGTTAAACCGAGGCAACCCCTCAGCTACTCTGCCATACACGCCTCAAGCTCCCACTCCATTCTAACTATGCCGCCTTGGACTGTTCTGATTACTTCCGGCCCGGCTACGTCCGAGAAATTTACGCAAGTCAAACCGAACCCCAGCTGAATTCGCCAACACCTCACGCCTCGAACCTCGAACCCCAAACGCCACTAAACCAAGGCCCAAACCCTGAAGCCAACTTCATCTGTACAGTCTGTAGAGCCCGTGAAGCTGAGCTCCCACACTTTGCTTTGCAGAGAGCCGGCAAGCGAGAGCCCAAATCCTCTTCCGACTCTCTGGGGGATCGGGGCACAAAGGGGCTGCTCTCAACCGGCTCTGCGCGGAAGCCCAATGTCGTAGCTGCAGCAAGCTCCACAAACCCTGAACTCCGGAAGAAGTTCTTTATAAAAACCCCTCTTCAGAATTGAACGCTTAGACCCCAGGCTCGAAGCCCTTCTGGCAGCGTGTCCAGTAGGAGCTGTCAGGGCCCAGTCCATGTGTGGCTCCGTGCTTCAACACGCAATCGGCGAGAGCAACGACCTGGGGGTGGCTCGAGGATGTTTGAAGCGATCGGGCAGCGACGGGCAGGATGACACCCGACGCTCCTGAAATAGGAAAGCCACTCGACTGAAGGCGGAACACCCGCTTCAGGCTTGACTGGTTCTGTTTGCCTCCTACAGTACTTCACAAGGACGCGCCCGCGTTGCAGGGTGGTTTGGGGTTAAGGGTTTCGGCCTCAGCTTCGGGGCATTCAGATTTAGCAAGCACACTCACACTCTATTCCAGGTTCAGGCCTCCTCCCACCCCAATCCTGAAGCCGTGAAAGTCGTAGTTCGTAGTAGTAGCCGTAGTAGTAGTGGTAGTAGTAGTAGTAGTAGTAGTAGTAGTAGCAGTAGTAGTAGCAGCCGTAGTAGTAATAGTAGTAGTAGTAGTAGTAGTCGTAGTAGTAGTAGTAGTAGTGTAGTGGTAGTGTAGTAGTGGTGGTGGTAGTAGCGAGTAGTGGTAGCAGTAGTTGTTGTTGTAGTCGTAGTCGTAGTAGTAGTAGTAGTAGTAGTAGTAGCAGTAGTTGCTACTACCACGACAACAACAACAACTACTACTACTACTACTACTACTACTACTTCTACTACTACTACTACGACGACTACTACTACGACTACTACTACGACTACTACTACTACTATTACTACTACTACTACAACCACCACTACTACCACCACTACTACTACTACTACTACTACTACTACTACCACTACTACTATTGCTACTACTACTACTACTACTACTACTACTACTGCTACTCCTACTAGTAGGGACCGTTGCAACTCTCGGGCTTGTCTTCCTGAGCCCGCAGCCGGCGTGCCCCACCAGTGGCTCAGGAACCAGGACTGGCGAGGGTTTAGGCTTTAGGGGAGTAGGGGTTTACAGTTTACACTCTCACAACTCCGACAAGCCAAGCGAGGATTCATAGGTGCAACAGTCGGCGTGACACATTGATGGTGGGGGTTTAGGGGTGTAAGGGTTCAGGGTTTTAGGGTTTAGGATTTAAGGCTAATTTCATGTTTGTACACATCTCGATTTGTGCGTTCACGATTTAGGGTCAGGGTTGCTCTGGGCACTTTCGGACTCGAGCGTAGATTGGTTTACTGCCTTTCGCGTCTGATGGCCTGGCTCGGACACCTATGTTCAGTAGATAGGCGCCATATTGGACTGGGCTTGAAGCCGAAGCGCGCTGTTCAGGCCGTACAGCGAAGCTAAGATCCCCAAGGCTGTTATCCCAAACATGCGTCCCACCAAAGGTTGCACGAGTGCGAGTAGAGGCGGTCGCATGAGCACGAGCAGCAATAGCAGTTGCAGTAGCAGTAGAAGCAGCGGTACCGGTAGCGCAAACACTTGCAGGCCGCAGGTGGCAGTAGTAGCAGCGGCAGCAGCCGCTGCTGTAGTAGCAGCGGTACGTCTACGACTGAGTGCCTACATTGACTGCGCTTACGACTGCTACGACGTACGCCTGCGACTGCGACAGCGACGACCATGACGACGAGTGACTACTCCTATCACTACCCGGCTTAAACCGCATCTAAAGTCCCAGATTGAAAGCAATGCTCCGAGGTGATGACTGGCGGCTGTGGCTGGCTAGCGAGCATCTCGACGAAGGCACACTTCCGCGACCTTGCAAAGGAGTCTTCCAAACGACTTGCTGCCACGATCAATTACATGCCTCCAAGATCAAAACAGCATCTGAAAGTCACCACCACCACCACCACCACCACCTCTGCTTCTGCTGCCACTACAACTACAATTACAACAATTTACTACCTCTACTACTACTACTACTACTACTACTACTACTGCTACTGCTACTACTACTACTACGACGACGACTACTACTACTACTACGACTACGACTACTACTACTTCTACTACTACTACTACTACTACTACTACTAGCCCGCTAGCCAGCTAGCCAGCCAGCTAGCCAGCTAACCAGCCAGCTAGCCAGATGGCTATGAAGAGTACTGCTATTGTG